ATGTCAGGCGGCAGCTGGCTGGCAAAGGAGGCGGCGGACAGGTTGCGATTTCGGGAAGCGGTGTCTGGAGGCGGCGGCGGCTCGGCGGAGGGTGGCGGGGGCGGCGGAGGGCGGCGGCGGTGAGGGCTGCGGAGGCAGCAACCCGAGCGGTGGGCGCTGCGCCCGCGTCAAGAGGGAGCCGCGCGTATGGGGAGGCGTCGGCGATGGGGTCGGCGACGTTGAGCGTCAAGGCGACGAGGTTGTAAGGAAGAATTTTGGGCCTGCTATGGCACGGTGTGGTGGTGGGTTGATATATGAGCCGGATGGGAGGGGGAGGAGCAGGCGCGCATCCGCGTGTTGGCAGCCGGGGCGGGGGTGGGTGGGTAGAGCAAGATGCCGGGGAGGACAGTGTTCCTCTCCGCGTGCCCCCTCGTCCAGCAAAGGTGGCTCTGCGCCCGCGTCAAGAGGCGCGCGCCGCGAGCGCAGGGGGAGGCGCTCGCCTTGATGCCGAAGCCGGCGGTGATGAAGGCGTCGGCGATGGGGTCTGCGACGTTGAGCGTCAAGGCGACGAGGTCGGGGCAGGAGGAGGTGGACGGCAAAGCGGTGAACGAGTCGGTGGTGCTGAAGTCGGAGGTGAGCTGAGAGACCCGAGCGCCGAGGCAGAACCCACACGCAGCGAGAGAGCTCCCTCTCCGCCGACGTAGCAGACACTGCCCGGCACGAAGAGCGTCAAGGGTACGCGCACGCCAGCCGCCGCCGTTGGGGTCGCAGTCGCCCGTGGGCTGGGGTCGAGGGTCGGGAGCCGCTGTGTGTCGCGCGCGCTGTGGGTGTCTTCTCGGTGCGTGTCAGATCTAAGATGGAGTCCATGCGCCGGCAAACCTGAATCGTCGCCTACACAAGCAGAATGCGCGGGGCGTCAGAGCGCCGGCCGGGCGGAGCGGGCGGAGCGGCGTATGTGCGAGGGAACGCCTGGATTCTTGATGGAGCAATCGTCGTAGCTTGATTGAGCAATCGTCGCTTGCGAGCATTTTATTTTTTTTATTTACGCTCTCCCTAAACGGGCACGTGGGTCGCGACGCATAACCTAGCCCATTTTGACTTTCTAGATTGTGAGCTAAGCCCTGCTCGCAACCCTCGAGTTTGATCGGATTGTGAGCGCGCTGGTAGTAGTCCTGGGCGTCACCAGTCACACTGTGAGTCTGTGAGTGAGCGGAGCTGCTCATAGTCCTAGAAGAAGTAGGATTGCGAGCGTGGGTGCTCACAATCGCACAGAGATGCTACGATTGCGAGGAGTGCTGCTCACAATCCTTTGTGTGTGTGCACACAGTCCTCAGAGACAAATGTTCAGAGAGAGAGAACCCTGTCTGCACGTCTCGCGCGCGCGTGAACAGGGCTCCAGGCCCCAAATGACGTGTGAGTGTTAGATTTGTTTAATGTTCATCAGAGTCACCTAAAAAGACGAAAAGAAAGTTCTTTTTCCGGAGTCGCTTAGGCGGCTCCAGTGGTGTACCTGTGTTAGTGCCAGTGCGCGCCAGTCCCGTGCCCAGTCCTGAGAGAGAGATTTTTAGCAATACCAAACAACTCTAACACTCACACGTCATTTGGGGCCTGGAGCCCTGTTCACGTTTGTTTGCAGTCCTGTGCCCAGTGTTGAGAGAGATTTTTAGCAATACCAAACTTTGTTTGTCAGTGTTGTGCGAGGGAGTTTTATTGTAAAATTCTTTTTCCTCCTCAGGCCGGCGCGCTGGCCGACGAGTCGGCGAGGGTCGCACCCAGCTATCTGGACCGCTGGCGCGGTGGGGTGGACATCGCGAAGAAAAGATAACCGATCATCATGGCTGCGAAAAGAATTTGCCAATTCTGCCCTCTACTTAACCGTACTTAATCGGGAGCATCGAACTTGCGCGGCGACCTTACGAGTGCACGCGAGAGAGGCCGTCCGGTGAGGTGTGTGTGGTCGAGCTGTGGGGTACACGCCGGTCGCCGCTGGGTGCATCGGCCCTCGGCATTTCATGGTGCACAACAGGGCTGTTTGGCGTCTCGCGGGCAGGGAGGGGTTGGGCGTTGCGTGCGCGCACCTGCCTGAGGGGCCATGCCTTCGAGCTTCGTCCAGCGGACCTCTGTCGTTGGACGGCCAGACGCCAGAGGGCGGCCGCGACACGTTATGAGCTGCGACAGGGGACACCCGCGGCGACGCGAGGGACAGGGAGCTCGACACACCTCGAAATCTGTAATCTGTAAAAGTGCCCAAGGAAGGTGCCACACGGAGTGTTTTTGCCGCGGGACGACCCGCCCGGCGTCGCTCGCAGTCGCACGCCGTCCTCGCCCACGCACGCGCTGATGATCGCCGCAAGAACTCACGGTAGCGAGAACGAATCCACGGGGCGCGGGTACACCAACCAAGGTCGGAGCCCCTCGCAAAGTTACAGACGATCCACAGCTTCACAACCCACAATTCACCACTGCAGCAGGCGGCCACATCACTCAGCGCGCTCCAGAAGGCAAATGTTGGCGGTGCGGTTAGCGCTCTTGCTTGGCGCGGCGCGCGCCTTCTACCTGCCCGGCGTCGCGCCGCGCGAGTACGGCACAGGCGAGCGGGTGGAGCTCAAAGTCAACAAGCTAACGAGCACCAAGACTCAGGCGGGCGACGGCCTGCGCGCGCCTGTCCGCCTTCAGCACGCAACTCTCTGCCCACGCGCACTCCCTCTGGCGCAAAGTCGGTGAGCGTCGGCGCTGCTGACGCACGGCTAGCCGCCTCTCCGGTCTGGATGTGCGGTGTCGCCCACTGCGTGCGAGGGACAGCTTGCTCGCCTTCTCACCACGCAAACCCTGTGTTCTCTCTGCGTGCGAGCGCGTGCGCCTGACGGCCGCACGTCCCCGCGCAGCTTCCCTACGAGTACTATGCGCTGCCCTTCTGCCGGCCCGACGAGGTGGTCGTGGTGGCGGAGAACCTGGGAGAGCTGTTGCGCGGTGCGGCCACAGCAGCCGGCGGCGGCGGGCCTTGTCCCTCGTGGCTGAAGCCGCCCTCGCGCCGGGTCGGAATAGGCGACCGCATCATGAATTCGATGTACGAGCTCAAGATGGGCGCGCTTCCTGCCCCATGCGGCCTTCCTTCTTCTACCCTTCGCGACGGCTCGTTGTCCGTGACCGGCCGGCCGCCCGCCGCGCCGCGCAGGCGTCGACGAGACTTGCAAAGTGCTCTGCCGCAAAGAGCTGACGGAGAAGGAGGCGGCGGAGTTTGCGCTCCGCATCGACGAGGACTACCGGGCGCGCGTTGCGCCTCTCTCGCCCTCGCGCCCCTCTCCTCCCGCTCCACTCTGCGCTCTCGTCTGCACCGAGTCGCTGCCGTGCCGCACAGCTGCCACCCTCACCCTCACGCTCGCACCTCACACCTCACGCCCCCGCCTCCTCCTCCGCAGGTGCACTGGGTGATGGACAACCTGCCCTCCGCGACAAAGTACGTCGACGAGACCAACCCGGCCAAGCCGCTCACCATCTACGACCTCGGCTTCCCTCTCGGCGCGCTCACACCCCGCCGCCGCCCCCCGTGGCAATGGCGCGGTTGTCCGTCCACACACGCGCACCGGGCCCTTGCACTTCGAATGCCGTGCCGGCTCCTGTCTTCTAGATGTGGATTCGTGAGGGCTGCCTGGCCCCTGCCCCACCACCGCTGTGTGTGGAGAAGTTTACGTGACCTCACCTCACCTCGGCTATTGCACTGGTGTCTGTGCGGGTGCCTCTCCCTGAGATCGCACACAACAGCCTCGTGTGCAATGCCCCGTGTGTCCCGCGAGTGCGTGTGCCCCGTCGTCCGTGCGAGGACCGTGTGCACCACTGCCTGACTGACCTGCCCTCACAACGCCCACCGCGGTGCGTCTTGTCTCGACCCCCCCTCACCTCGACCCCCTCACCTCGACCCACCTCCAGCGCGCCCGCTCTCTGCTGCCAGGCTTCCGCGGCTCCGGCGAGATTCCTGGAACGGCGGTGGGGAGGGCGTACCTCAACAACCACCTGCTCCTCACCGTCAAGTTCCACAAGGACCCGTCGAGCTTTGAGGGGGCGCGCATCGTCGGCTTCGAGGTGGAGCCGTGCCTAGGTCTCGGAGGCGGAGAGGGGGGGAGAGAGGGGGAGAGTGGGGGGAGATCGTGTAGGTGGAGCCGTCCTCGATCAAGCACTCGTACTCGGGCACGTGGAGGCGCGACACTTCCGAGACACTTCCGAGACACCCTTCCGAGACACTTCCGAGACACTTCTGGTACTCGTGGCACACACGGGGAGGCGCGGCGCCCTCGCTCGCCCACGCCTCTCAGCCACGCCTCTCGCCCGCACCTCCCCCGGCCTCCCCGCGGCCACACGCTCTCTTTTCGGCCACCCTCCCCCGGCACACCTCTCGCCCACCACCGCTCCACCTCCTCGCCCCACCTCTCTGGGCCACCTCTCTGCCGTCTCTTAGCTCTGCCGCCCCTCTCTCCCTCTCCCCCTCTCCCTTTCTTACTTACGCTTCATGCTATAGATGCCCGTGATCTGAATGCAATGGTCTCCTTTTGTGTCAAGGGCTCCCCTTCTTCTGCGAGTTCCTTTCTCGGGCTGGCCGACA